CAGCACTTGCCTAGCATGTACGAGGACCTGAAATTGATTTCCAGTACCACAAAAAGTAATAATAAATAAATTTATACATGGCATAATGTGTTTCATTCAGCTTATGTTTTATGCCCTAGTCACTGTTTTAGTGTAGCACTGAAATATGTTTGATATTAAGTAGGATATTTTCCTATTCCAATATTGTGGTCTACTACTGTTTATTTCCTAGATATGTTTTTGAATCAGTTTCTTTTAATTTGAGGGGCATATGCATGTATGTGTATCTCTATCTCTCATCTCATTCATTCATTCATGAGTCAATTATTTATTCAGTTTCCATCAGTGCCCTTTAATAAGGTGTTACGATTTTCTTCTTATACATTTTTTTAAAACATTACTTCTGGGCTAGAGGTAATGCTTCTTAGTAGTTCAAGAAGTAGAGTGCCTGTCTTGTAAGCATGAAGCCCTGATTTCAAACCCCAGTACTGCTAAAAAAAATAAAATAAAATAAATTACTTCTGCCAGGCATGGTGGCTCAAGCCTGTAATCCTAAGTACTTGGAAGGTTTAGCTCAGGAGGATCAAGTTTCAAAGGCAAAAACTTGTGAAGATGGCAGAGTGACTCAAGTGATATAGCACCTGCCTGGCAAGTGTGAGGCCCTGAGTTCAAACTCACCAAAAAAAAAAAAAAAGCTGCTTTAAGAAAGTTCATGAGAACTATCTCAACCAATGGGTGGGCATGATGGTGTATGATTGTCATCCTAGCTATTAGGGGAAGCACAAATGAGAAGATCATGGTCCATGCCAACCTGGCATAAAGTGAGACCCTGTCTTAAAACAACCAATGCAGAAAGGGCTGGCAGAGTGACTCAAATGGTAGATTGCCTACTGTTAGAAGTCCAGGCCCTGAGTTAAGCCCCCAGTGCCCCCACAAAAAAATTATTTCTAGGTATATTAGTTTTCTGTAGCTACTGTAACAAATTTACCACAAACTCAGTGGGTTAAAAATGATACAAACTTATATTACAGTTCTGTCTTGTATTAAAAAACAGACCAATGCTGGGCACCTGTGGCTCATGCCTATAATCCTAGTTACATGAGAGGCCTCATGGTTTGAGGCCAGCCTGGACAAATAGTTTTTGAGACCCTCTCTCCAAAAAAAAAAAAAAAGCAAAATGGACTGGAGGTGTGCCTCAATCAATACAGCGTCTGCTTTGCAAATGTGAAGCCCTGAGTTCAAACCCCAATCCCACACAAAAATAAAGGACCACTGCAGGTGGCGGGCCCACTTAGAAAATGCCCAGATTTCTGGGGTTGTCACCAGGTGCCACCAGGCCCTCAGGGTGGCCTCAGTCACAGGCTCACAGAACAAAAACCACACTTCCTGCTTCCTCACCCCTGCCTTGGCTGGGCCTGCACCTGCTGTGCCTCCCTTCCTCTATCTCCCTGACACCTTCCATGAGCTAGAGAGGATATCATCCAGATTTTCTCATTTCCCCCAAGGTGAGCCTCAGTCCTTCCTGGCACTGCAAACTCTGAAAAGAAAATGAGCTCTACTCAGTGTATGCCCTGCAAGAAAGCTGGCTCCATAGTTAGTGAGCTGTAGCCCTGCAGGTTCCATCTATTCCCTCATGATGGGAGAAGCTGGCAAGGTGGGATTTCTAGGAACACAGGCAGATTTTTCACATCTCAAGGAGAATTCTCCCACTGCCCTCCAGGTGCCACTGAGCTTTCTGACAAAGAGTGTCTGTCTTCCCCTCTCCCTCTGACCTTCTCATGGCCCTGCTTCCCACCGTCTTCCTAAATAACCAGTGACAGTATCTAAGGTCCCCTAGTGAAAGCCACCCACCTTCATTTCTGTTGTTTCTGCCCACAGTGAAGGCAGTCACTCCCTCCTTCTGCTTCAAACTCCTGTCTCCCAAGCCTTCCCTGAAGACCTCACCTCCTGGTCCTCCTCCCACCTCCCCAGCTACTGCTTCTTCTCCATCTCCTCCCTGGGTTCCTCATCTTGTACCTGACCTTGCAGTACCATGTCATGCAAGAGTCTTTGCTATCCAGAACTCCTTCTGCTGTTTGGAGGGTGAGGAGGGAAGGCACTAGATTGGTGTTTGAGTTTCTACAGAGTTGGAGCTAAGTCAGAGGAAAGAGCCAAGGCAGGAAGTGAATGAAAAACCAACCAAAGTCCATCAGCCAGATGTGAACATCCAAATCAATTGTAGAAACTCAATGACCATAAACTAGGTTACTTGCCAGTGTTCTTCAAGGAGACAGATCCAGTAGGATATATGAGAGGGCATTTCCTAGCAGAATTACCTATACTGTCACAGTCACTCAGAGTCCTTCAAATAGCTTTCTGCAAATTTGAGAATCATGGAAATCATTGGCATGACTCCGTTCTTTCCAGAAGAGTCAGAACTAGGGAAGCTGACATCATACTCAATGGTGAAAGACTAAAAGGGTTTTCCTTTAAGATCAGGAGCAAGGCAAGACTGCCTGCTTTTGGCACTGCTCTTCAACACTGCACTGGAAGTTCTAACTAAAGCAATTAGACAATCAGAAGAAATAAACGTCATCCAAATTGGAAAGGAAAATGTTAAACTATCTCTATTTGCAGACGATGACATGATCTTATATATAGAAAATCCTAAAGTATCCACAAGAAAGCTACTAGAGCTATAAACAAATTCAGCAGAGTTGTAAAATACAAAATGAGAACATGAAAATCAGTTGCATTTCTATACACCTGCAACGAAC